TTGACCAGAAACATCATTCTGAATTGCATTAGTTATACTTGCACTTGCATCAGTTGCACTTACATCATTCTGAATTGCATCAGTGGTAGTTGTACCTGCATCAGACTTCACCTTTTTCTGCAAAAAACAATACACATAACATACATTACGAGCAACAATAAATTCCTGAACAACAATAATAAACAGGCTAACAACAATACCTTTCCTTTCAAGGCATTTGGATCTTATTTCTTGCTCTTGCATGATTGAACATTGTGTCTAAGCTTATCATACTTAGTGCACCTATAAGATACACCGTGAAACCTTCTTCTTACACCTTCCTCACCAGACTCCCTAATTCTTAGTTTTCTTGGTCTGCCATGATCTTTTTTGTACCTAGGAGGTATAAGCTCTTCACTTTCAATTTCAGGCCACATCTATTATGTTTTTTTATTTAATTAATTATTATTTTTTAAAGAAATCAAAATGGATTAATAATAAATGCGATGCTCTAGCACAAGATGTACTACAGAGATCGCAAGAGTTTACACAAAAGAAACAGACTTAGGGCTACAACATCACCGTAACCCAAAACAAACAAAGGGGTTATATCACCACAAATGAGATCCAGAAATACACATACCGGCCTTGGCCTTTATCCACCAAAAATATATCAACTTTACTTTATCTAAAAATTGAGCAATAGAAGACTCTTTTGAATTAAACAACCTGTTATTCCTTTCTGACCACAACGCCCTTATAATAGCGAGCCATATTAACTGTAAGAATTCACGATAAGCGATATTACCACCAGTATAGTGAATAAACTGAAAAAGTGATCCTTTATATTAAGAGGATCTACACCATCAAATACCAATCTTGAAACGAAGTGCTGCCAAAGCGAACTGAAAAAGTGACACCGAAGGAAAAGGTGTTGAGTTGTCTCCACATTTCTACAACCCGTAATGCATAAACAATCTTCATTAGATATAATTCCACGGTTGACCAAGTTCACCTTTATAGGAAACCTGTCATGCAACAACTGCCACGCACATATAAAAACCTTCAAGGGAACCTGCTTATGCCAAATATTGTCCAAAAACGACACCCCTATTGATCTTCTCGTCTAGTGAGCTTATGATAAACATCAATGGCAAGATAAGTTGTGCCTTCAGAAAGAAACCACCTCCATATTAAGGAATAATTATCCTAGAAATTAATTGATAATTAATTTGAGATTATATTGCAATCAATGTATAGGTGAAACTGATTACTACACTCTTGTTGTCAACCCTTTCCTAGTTGTATAGTAATCATGAATATCTTTATATTTATTATAGGATCATCAATTGTAATATATATGTAACCTTCTGTCTAGAAATAGACATCAGTGAGAAAATACTAATTCATTATATTCTCTTATATGGTATCAACCGCTCCCTAGCTTAACAACTTCACAATCCAATTATTTTTTTCCTCATCATGTCTTCCACAACATCCCCAAACAATGGAAACACAATTCAGGTTGGCACCCATAGTGTCACAATTCTCAACACCCAAAACTCAATCAAACTTAAGAGCAACAACTATCCAACATGGAATGTCCAAATGAATGCACTATTCATTGGATATGACCTCACTGGCTTCATTAATGGTACAAAATTGCGCCTTCCTACAACAGAACCAGATTACAACTATTGGACAAGGCAAGATCAACTCATAATACATGCTATTATCACATTTGTCGATCATAGCATCATCACGACATTAGGCAATGTCAATACCTCAAAACAAGCTGGGATACTCTCAAGAAGATGTATGCTAGCAAGACTCGTGCACATATCATGCACCTCAAAGAGAGACTCACTTAAGTTACCAAAGGAGTGAGTCTGATCTCTAAATACCTTCACAACATCAAAGAAATTGCTGATGAATTAGCCATCATCACCTCACTATTGGATGATGTCGATCTGGTCATTCACACACTGAATGAACTAGGATCAGAATACCGTGAGATAACTACCGTTATTCGCACACGTGAAAACCCGGTTAGCTTCAATGATCTTTATGATATCTTATCAGATTCTGAAAACTACCTCAACATAGAGGAAAATAACACCTTTATTCCAACCATTGCTACAACAAGTGTCGCCTTCAAAGGTAAACCCTACAATTTTAAGAGAGCAATTGCATCAGGGCCCTCAAACCCCAATTATTTTCGCTCTACATCCCATGCCAAGCCACACAAAATCATCTGTTAATATTGTGACAAACACGGTCATTAAGCAAAAGTTTGCTACAAATTGCATGGCTATCTACAACGTCCAACAGGCCCCATGGCACATCATGCCGGTACTGCATATCAACTAGCTCCACATGATTGGACAATGGACTCTGGTGCAACTCATCACATAATCGATGCTTTAGATAACCTCCATGTCACAAATCCTTATTATGGTGATGATGAGTTACTTGTAGGTGATGGTACAGGCTTGCACATCACTAATACTGGTAAAACTTCTCTTCATACCAAATTCATTCTCTTTATCTCTCAAATATTTTACATGTTCCAAAAATATCACAAAACTTATTGTCTATATGATCACTATGCCAAACTAACCCTATCTATGTTGATTTTTTTTCTGATTATTTTTTGGTGAAGGACCTAAAGACAAGGGCCCCTCCAATCAAAAGGACACCATAAACATGGACTCTACATCTTGTCTCGACCATCCATCAGCCCAACAACACTTCTCGCCACCTCTACCGACCATTCATGGCACGCCAGCCACAGATTCCACAATATATCAAAAGATCATAGGAGGACTACAATATTTAAATCTCACTCGGCCTGAAATTTCCTTCTCCATAAATAAGTTTGCTCAATTCATGCACAAACCTACCACAATGCATCTTCAACACCTCAAAAGAATACTATGCTACCTTAAGTCCATCAATCATGGTATTCTACTAACACCACCAACCAACTTTAACTTAGTAGCGTACTCAGATGCGGATTGGGGAGGAAATGTAGATGATCGTACTTCCACCTCTACATACACCATCTTCTTAGGTCTGAATCTTATATCTTGGTTGTCCAAAAAATCAACGCATAGTAGCGCGATCCTCCATTGAAGCCGAATATAGAGCAGTAGCTACAACTGCATGTGAGGTCACGTGATTAATCAACCTCCTTACCGAACTTCATGTTCCAATGCCTACACCACCGCGCTTACTATGTGACAATGGTGAAGCTACTTACTTGTGTTCAAATCATGTACTTCATTCTCGCATGAAACACATTTCTATGGACTACCACTTTGTGAGAGAACAAGTTCAAACAAACTGTCTACATGTTTCTCACGTCTCTACGAAAGATCAGCTTGCAGACATACTTATCAAGCCTCTTTCGTTGGAAAAATTTGATGAACTCATGTCCAAGATTAAAGTTATCAATGACAACTTTATCTTGAGGGGGCATATTAAGGGATAATTATCCTCGAAAGTAATTGATAATTAATAGGAGATTATATTGTAATCAATGTATAGGTGAAACTGATTGCTACACTCTTGATGTCAAGCCTTTCCTAGCTGTATAGTAATCATGCATATCTTTATATTTATTATAGGATCATCAATTGTAATATATATGTAACCTTCTGTCTAGCAATAAACACCGGTGAGAAAATACAAATTTATTATACTCTCTTATACTCCATTCATCACGAACATTACCATGTAAAGAGACATCAAGTAATAATATCCTTAACTCTTCCATCAATTCCTCCTCCCATGCTAACAATCTCTATCGCCACCTCCACACCCTCCCCTACTTCCCCAACCCAAGGCAAACATATGCGCTACTGACTCCCCTTTAAACTCTGATAACTGATAAAGATGACTAAATCTTTCACCAAAAGACACCTCACATACCCAAGTATCTGTCCAAAAATGAGTTTGAACACCATTCCACAGCTTCCTCCGCACATTCTCATAAAACCAATTTCTCCCCTCTATACCCCACCCACCCCAAACCCGACACTAGTATTTAATTAATTATCATTAGTAATTGTTTTTTAAATTTTGTTTTACTTAATTAATTATTATTATTATTAATGGTTTTAGAGATTTTGAAGAAAAATTTAATGAAAGAAGTTATAGGAATAGGAATATAGAATAGTATAAATGTGGATATAAGATGAGCCACGAATCATAAGTCAGCAATAGCAAAGTAGGTCCCACCAAACCATTGCAATTTGCAATATATAATGTATAAATCTTCCCTCTTTTTATCCCACTTTATAATTCAATGATATTTTGTCAAATAAACTAAATAATTAATTTTTGTGAGACATAAAACATGCTTTAAAAACAACTGAAAAATTGTTAAAAACATAAAACACTACAACAACCATGCTTAATTGTTGTGTATGTCTATGTATGAAACATTGAAAAAAAAGTGTCTCATAAATAGTATCTATCTATAGCATATTACTAGTTTCTTTAAACATGTGTATGAGACTGCATCCTATGAAACACTGATATCGTGGCTGCACTTTTTGCCTCAGACGTGGACATACTCATTAGCACTGAATCTAACAAATGAAAAATCCAAAAAATATATTAAATTCTGTCCATAATAATTCCAATAAATATCTTCTTAGCACAAACACATCTTTTGCTTTTTTCTCAATTCTTAGTATTTATCAGTTTCATTATACATCACTTGCCATTGTTGTGAACAAGATATCTTCCTCTCCATATGAAGGGTTACTGTGTTCATTGGTATTTTCCTTCTCCACTTTTTTTTTTTTTTAAATTAATTGACCGTTGTCTGTTTGTCTGCTATTTCTGTATAAACTTTTATCGTATTGAGATTGATGTTAATTTTAGTTCATGTTCATATTCATATTCATAATGCATGTTGAAGTTTGGTGATGTTTTTTTTTTTTTGTGACTGAATTTGTTGATCTAACTTTGATTGAAGGAATTGCATGAGTTTGTCATCATATTCATAAGACATGACTGCTAACAATGGAAGAGGAAGTGATGAAAATAAGAGAAAAAGCAATGTGATTATTGGTAATGAGAATAATGGTTTGACTAGAAATTTTGCTTCTTTAGTTGGATCTGAACCTCCTAGTACTAGTTTTTGTTCCACCACAGATCCTAAACACATTGTTGAAAAATTGCATGTTAGGAAGTATCATAATAGCTTTAGTAGAGAAGTTGCATTGAAAAAAGTTGAAGAACAGATACCTCTTAGGTTAAGCAAAAGGCAAAAGGGAAGTGATTCTAGGATAAACTTAAATCATGAACCGCGTAAAGGTTTCGGTAATTTGAGTAATAGTAGTAAAATGCAAAGTGCTTCATATATGTCTAGTTATCCTCAAAAAGGAAAGGGAGTTATTCAGAAAGATTTGGATAATGTTATGTCTGGCGCGGAATGTTTTAACGGCGGAATCGTGTTAAGAGTGTGGATGAAGTCTGAGAGTCATAGAATGAAGAAAACAGAAAGGTTGTGTATATTTAAACAGATCTTGGAATTGGTTGATTTTGCACATTCTCAAGGGTTTGTCTTGCAAGAGATAAAACCGTCTTGTTTCACGTTATCGCCTTCGAATAAGATTAAGTACATTGGTTTGTATAGTCAACAAGTGTTTGATGACAGACAATCGTGTTTCACCGTGTTTAAGTCGTGTCTTAAGGCCATCGTGACTTGTAAAGAGACGGAATCTCTTAAGCAGCAGCAGCATTTTAATGGAAGTAGGACTAAATCGGAGAATCAAACTGAATGCGACACGAGCATGTTCATTGAATCAAGGGTTAAAGAGAGGATGTGTCCAGATGGTTCGAGTTATCAACACGGTTTTGCAGAAGATAAACAGTTAGAAGAGAAGTGGTACACTAGTCCAGAATCGGTCGACGATGGAAGTTCTACTTTTTCATCAAATGTTTATAGCCTTGGAGTTATTCTTTTTGAGGTCAGAAAATATTTTATACATTTTTGTTACTTTGATTAAGTTCTGTCTTGTATAAAATAACCATAGAGATGTTATATTCATAATCTATTTGTTAACATTTTAGTGGATGCTTCTCACAGTTGCTGTGCAATATTGAGTCATTGGAAGCACATTCATCTGTGATGTTTGATATGCGTCATCGAATCTTACCGCCGAAATTTCTATCACAAAATGCAAAGGAAGCTGGCTTTTGTCTATGGCTTCTGCACCCTGAGCCTTCTTCTCGTCCGAATTCCAGGTACGGGCATAAGCCACATTCTGAACATATCGTCTTTTGGCTAAAGTTGTTTTCATAAGCGATCCTGAGAAACTTATGAGTGTTTATGTTATAACAGGATGATTTTAGAATCTGAGTTTATAAGCGAATTAGAGGAATTGAGTTCTGGCGATAATGTTATAGTATCTGAAGGCGATGTAGTTGACACTGAGGAACTACTGAATTTTCTAGTTTCGGTTGAAGAAGAAAAGAAAAAACAAGAAGCCAAATTGGCAGAAGAGTTAAATTTTTTGAATGAAGATATTAAGGAGGTGGAAAGAAATCATTCATATGAGACTGATTCAGTATTTCCTTTGGCACAATTGAACTATCGAAACTTTCAAACTTCTTCCACAGATATCGGTCGATCTATTCAAAGGTCATTCCCTGACAAAGCAAGATTTATGAGTACTATAAGTCAGCTAGAGAACAGTTACTTTTCCATGAGATTCCAAGGCCTGCTCAAGGACGCTGCAGCGGTTAAAACCAGCGATAAAGCCGTGATGGAAAGTAGATGGCGATTGCCGCATTTGGAGAATGTTATTAGTAGTGATCCGAAGAGAATTCAAGGCTCTATCGCTTGTCTAGGACCTTTCTTTGATGGTTTATGCAAATTCGCTCGTTACAGCAAGTTTGAAGAGCGCGGAACATTGAGAAATAGAGATTTGCTTAGTTCTGCCAATGTGATATGTGCCTTGAGTTTTGACCGCGACGAGGACTACATAGCAGCCGGTGGAATTTCGAAGAAAATAAAGATATTTGACCTCAATGCTACTTCGAGTGATTCTATAGACATTCAGTACCCCGTTGTCGAGATGTCAAACAAATCGAAGCTTAGTTGCGTGTGCTGGAACAGTTATATCAAAAACCATCTGGCTTCTACTGATTATGATGGTGTGGTTCAGATGTGGGATGCAGGCACTGGGCAGCCACTGTCTCAATACATGGAGCACCAGAAGAGAACTTGGTCTGTTCACTTTTCGGTGTCTGACCCGAAAATGTTTGCTAGTGGAAGCGACGATTGCTCGGTCAAACTGTGGAATATCAGCGAGGTATGCTTCTTCTTATGCATTTTGATTACAAACTATAATAACTGTCTCATAATGATGTTGTTTTTGCAGAGAAATTCTATAGGAACCATATTGAGTCCTGCAAATGTATGTTGTGTTCAGTTCTCTGAGTACTCTTCAAATCTTTTGTTTTTCGGATCGGCTGATTACAAGGTCTACGGTTATGATCTTCGCCACACTAAAATCCCTTGGTGTACATTATCTTGTCATGGAAAAGCTGTTAGCTATGTAAAATTTATAGATGCACAAACAGTTGTGTCTGCTTCCACTGATAACACTTTGAAGCTATGGGACCTGAAGAAAACTAGCTCGGATGAGTCGTCATCTAATTCTTGTGACTTAACCTTTCGAGGTCATAGTAACGAAAAGGTTGGTTTCTCTACACATGTTACCTCGCTTTTTGTTTTCTTTTGTCTATTCTAATCGTTTATTGTTCGTTCGTCCTATTTCTCCAGAATTTCGTTGGTTTATCGGTTTTGGATGGATACATTGCATGTGGTTCAGAATCTAATGAGGTATACCTTTTGAATTATCGTAATCTTGATTTTACGATATTGTATATTAGTTCGTCTGAGTCTCTAGTTTTCTACCTTATCAGGTATACTGTTATCACAAATCTCTGCCAGTGCCAATTGCTTCTCACAAATTCCAGTCAATCGATCCTATTTCCGGCCATTCAAATAGTTGTGACAACAACGGACAATTTGTTTCGAGTGTCTGCTGGAGAAAGAAGTCTAACATGCTTGTCGCAGCCAACTCAGTTGGAATTGTGAAACTACTGCAGATGGTGTGACAGACACGTTTTATTTGGACTCAACACTCGGACTAGTGATTCATTCAGGCTTCAACGATCAACGCGTGCGGAATAAAGCTTAGACGGGGAGGGTATAGAGTTGAGTTAGTTCAAAGAGGCATGCAACAATGTCTCTTTAATTTCCATAGATAGGTAAAATCTTGTTATCTACAACATGATATGAAAAGTACTTTTTCCTAAATAAGCTGAACATGATGATATGTATGAAGCATGTACATATATTGGATTTTGAATTGAATATAATGCGAATCTTCAGCTTCGCATTCCTCTCATTCAAATTTGTTGATTCACAGCAATAGCTCCTTCTCGCTCCTATAAATCCATGCTTGTAAGACTGCAGTCTGTTGAGGAAGTGAGACAAAAATTACGCGCAAAAACTAACTATTTTTCGATATAATAATGTTTTAAGATTTCAATTATACACCATGATATAAAGTTATGCGCAAAAACTAACTTTTTTTTTCTGTTCCTATACTTATTCACAAAAACTACTTATGTCAAGAATTTCTTCATTTAAACTACTGAAGTTAATCGTGTGAGTTCCTTATTATCTAAGATAACTCAGAGTCCGAGACATGACCGGAAGATGATCTTGTTAATCTCCTCGGACTTGATATTAGATGTTTATCTGAACTCATCCGCATGCTTCGCGATTGAGGGGTCATTTGTGGAGGTCTATCTAGTCTCCCTTTTGGTGTACCTGCATTGACAAGCACATGAAAATGTCAAAAAACAGTTACATTAGCTTCTTAAACAAACCTGCATTGCTTTAATGAAGAATTTCACGGATACTAATCGGAGCCGAAGAAAAGTTAGAAGCTAACCTGATTGTTTGGCTCTCGAATCTAGTAACTTCCTTGTCGATACAAGCCTCCTGTTGTTTATAATCTCAGGTCCAACTGAAGGTTTCTTTTCTATTACGGTTAGAAACGGCTCGTCTCCTGACGTAACGGTTTCGTCACCGCAGACGGAAGCATCACTTCCGGATTCGGAGTTATCCTTAGAGCCTGTATTCATTTTTTCTTGCTCGATAACTCGGTACGCAAACATTTGAAAAGGAATATTCGATATAGATGATCCAGAACTTCCCCAAAAAGGAAACTTCCTCAAAAGTGCTGACTCTATATCACAGTAATCTACAGGTGGCACTGGTGGATCTATCTCTTTATTGTAACCGGGATTTAATGCGAGAAATCTTTTTATATAACGAAGAACTCTACATATGGACGAGAAACTCGGACGCTGATTCGGATCGGTGTGCCAACATTTCTTCGTCAAGTTGATAACGTATTTCGGTGAATTGAGTGGAAAAAGTGGCCTCTCTCCAGCCCTTATGTTTCTGCTCATTTTCTCCCCTTGAAGATGGCTATCTTCGAAAGGAACTTTACCGGTTAGAAGCTCGAAGCAAACCATTCCGAAACTATACACATCAGATTTCTCCGTGTACTTAGAAACCGACGCAGCTCCCGATTGTTCTTGCTCTTCAAGTACCTCAGGAGAGTACCAAATGAATGAGAGAGTTCCATGTTGATTCGCATTCCCTTTCTGGTTCAAATCCTTAACTGAAGATAAGCCAAAACCCGATACCTTGGAATGCAAGTAACCTTCTGGCAACGCACTTCTAGACTTAACAAGAATATTTGTAGGGTTTAATTCTCCATGATACACTTTCTTTGAATGAAGATACTCCATTCCTCTCGCAATCTGAAGCATAAGATCAACCGCGGTATGAAGCACGAACGGTATTCGCTTCCTCGGACCGTGAATCTCTTTAATATGAGTGCAAAGAGTTTTGTTCATCAGTTCCATTAACAGAAAGCATTCTTTCTTCTCCTCATCAGTAAAACCACAAAGAAAGTCCATTATATTCGGATGCGAAAGAGATAGAAGTTCTTTGATCTCACTTTCCAAAGCCTCAATATCACCCGAAAAATGTCTTAAAACGAAATTTTCACCTAACCATTGAATCTCTTTATACTGACTTCCATTCTCCATTCTTCTCCTCACCTGATAGTCCTTAGAACCAACCAATATCGAGCTCGGCAGAAGCTTAGCTTCCAACGACTCCGATACTTCTAAATTCCTAAAAAGCAAATCTATCAATTTCCTCTCGTACTTTGTCGCGCCCGACACTTTCTTTTCATGGATCTTGTTGAAAAGAAACCATCTGTCTTCCTTCCAAACCGTATCGTAGCGGTTACACAAATCCTGAGTAATGAGGTAATGCTTACCAAATTTCCACTTGAAAAGCTTCATGTCTCTAAATTCTTTTCTATACTTATTCGAATTTATAAGCCTCTTTCTTTGCATCTCGTCTAGATCCAAACCCGACGTTTCAGCAGCCGATTCAATCGCCTCGATCACAATAGGCATGCAACATAACAAGTTGTGTATGTAAAACTCAACACAATCTGTATTATGACACAATGTAATGGCTTTAGCCCAAAAGTCCTTTATTTCCAAACAATGCTTAATGTAAACTTCTCCTTCTTTGAAAATCTTATGGATCTCTCTTAAGGGCTGTTCTAGAACCTTCCATTTTCCATTCTTCTCTTCAAATTTCAGATTCTGTATGATCTCATCTGCTATAGATTCATATGCAAAGGTGAAAACATCTAGAAGAGCACAACATTGTCTCTGATTGATTTGAATGTTCTCCCTGAACACCATCACAGCCTTTAAACTTCCAAGGGCCTCGCCAATTTGTCTAAATTGTTCCATAACTTTGGTTTTGATCTAAAACAAAACCTGTAAAATAAAAAAGGTAGTGAATATTCCTTGACATTCACATATAAAAACCAATGTAATTCACTATCTTGCACCGACACTTCGAATTAAAGACATTTCTTGTGTCCAACTGAACGGTTGTTACCTTCAATCATTTTTTATTTTTAAAGTTATTATCATGTGTACGTGTCAGTATCGTGTTCTGTTATATTAGTATTTTATTGCTAATTCATCAATGAGTTCTTGGTTATCTATGTAAGATGTGATGCCACAAATTTTCCAAGAGAAGGAAAATGTAAGGGAAAAAAAATGAAATGAAAAAAAAGGGCTTTTGGTAAAATGTTGAACTTTGTAACATTAGAAAAGACTAAGAACAAATTTTGTGGATTGTGTTTTGAGTTATGATTCAAGATTAGAATATGTTTTGAGTTTTGAGGTAAACCACTCAAAATATTCCATTGTGAAAGGTTGTATGAGGGGCATAGCATTTCTCCTAGTTTTATGGCTTTTATAGTTTGTTTTTTATGACCAATTCTTTCTAAAGTACTCATCATGAGTTAATGCTTGTCTCATCACAACCAATCCTCATTATATATTCCTTGTCTAGTACTCAATTAGCAATATAGGATTTTTGTCAAATCTTTAGTGTGTTTAGATGAAAGAATTTTAATGACAAAAATAATTTTTTGAAAAAATTTAAAATTAGTTTATTATAATTTATTGTTTGAATAAAAAATATAGAGAATTGTAACAACATTAAAATTTTATGAAGTATTTTTGTTAAATTTAAATTTATGAATTTCAAAAAAAATCTAAAAGTAAGATGTTTAAATTTCATCTCTAGTCTACTCATTGTGAATGTTAGATTGATTATTGCTAATCTTTCAATTACTTTTTAGTCTCCATATTTTTTAAAATTTCAAGTTGTCGTTCAGAATTTAAAAAGAAAATGTAAATTACCTCTTAATAATTTTTAAATTTTACAAATTAGTTTTTTTTGACAAATTAATTCTTTTAAATATTTAAAAATTGTAAATTGGTCTATACTTTTCAAATTTGACCTAAAACTTAAAATTTTTAAAATGACACCGAATAATTTTAATACTCTGTCCAAAAAAAAATTTTAAAAAAATTTAATTGAATAATTTGAATTACTTAAAATTCTATCTTTTAGAAGAAAAAAAGTTAATTATCCCATCCAAATACATTATTAGCACTTTCAAATATTAGACATTGATGGATAGATTAACTATCAATGATTTTGTTAAAATGAGATTAAGGTTAATGCTAATTAATTGTGATTATTAATGTAGAAATGACTAAAAATCTAATAAGAAATTTGTATTTACGGTGAGTACAATACATGTTATTCTCTCTAAGATAAAGTGCGTAAGATGACTCAATATTTTGATACGTAAAAATTGTATCTCAATTGCCTAACAAAGTATTTATAGATGAGAACTCTGATGGAGGAGTCAATGAAAAAACTTGTTTTTACGCCAACAAAGTTGACTGGACGTTTTCTAGATCTTACTCGTTAAGGGAATGGCTAGGTTAATTATCCTATTATGTTGAAAGTGAGATCAATTCAACCAATACTTCTGTTATCTCTTGAAGGAGCAATCGAGTAAACATCAATCTTAGTGCCCGATATGTGTCCCAATGAAGAAGGCATCAATCTTCCGAGAAGGTCGAGGCAACTAAGAAGACGTTGCAGGATTTCATGGATGCTAACTTTATTTATGAAGTGAGATATACTAAGTGGCTTTCCAATGTCGTGTTGGTCAAAAAATCCTCCAAGAAATGGAGAACATGCATTGATTAGACCAACCTTAACCGGGTGTGCCCCAAAAACTCGTATTTGCTTCCAAACATAGATAAATTGGTAGACACTTTAATTAGATACAATATTTTGTCATTTATGGATGCATGATTGAACAAATAAATTATTGTATAATGTGATGCCTTTTGACATGAAGAACACAAGAGCAACATACTAAAGGACGATGAATAACGTCTTAGGAAATGAATAAGTGAGACCCTTGAGGTGTATATGGATGACGTTGTGAGTGCAACTTCACCATTAGATATTTTGTATGATGTCAAAACTAGAAAAACTTAGCATTTCTGTATATTGGACAGTATCTTTGTGTCGTTTGGTGCATCCTTACATTAGAGGTCTTAGAAAGCATACAAAACAAGTTTAAAATTGATCCAAATAATGAAAAATTAATTTCTGCACAAAAAACAACATTTTTGCTTTAAAACTACAGTACATTAGCCGACTTGAAAATCCTATGAGCCGTCCTGAAAATCCCATGAGCCAGCATGAAAATATTATAAGTCAGCTCATATACTATATTATTAAAGGCTATAGCTATTGTTTTGTATTTTCCGGCTCATAACTTTTCAGGCCGACTCATACTATTTTGTGGGTCATTTTTGCATATTTTCTTCATTCTAAAATACCCCTCTTTTGCCTAAAAAATTCCCAACTATAAGTATATCATTCATGCATCATTCCAACTTGGTGATACCATAAAAGTATCCTGCAATTTCTCATCATCTTCAACCTCTAACCTATACATACACACTAACAAACCATTATAACAATTCTTTGTTGGGATGTCATGCCATCTAGACGAGGATTGATAACGTTCAATTAGTTTCTTGTGTAGTCGAGAATATTGGGTTGAGATTTATAGGGGTCTTCATCCGAAAAAACCACGGGTTTATCCTCCAAGATCATTGAATGATTTGGGGGTTTTCATGCAAGACATTCAAGAGGAGATTGCGGCCTAGTAAAACCGTTTGGAGATAAAGAACACAAAGGATCCTTTGGAAATAAAGAACGTAAAGGAAGTAGCGCGAGAACATCGAATAAAATTGAAGTCTTATGTTGTAATAGGTGCAATTGATAGTGCACGAAAGCTTTGGAGATAAAGTATGCAAAGGAATAGCAAGATCTGGATAATCAATTGGCAGCTATTATGTCTTGGTCTTGTTGAAGATCAAAAGAAGAGAATGGGTTGAATCAACATCAAACGGTTATGGTATGTAGGGTTTCTCTTGAACACTTCTCTTGTAATCATACTTTTTTCAAAGTAAGAAAATATCCTAATTCCACATTGGAATTGGACGCAGATGTACCCACATGTGAGGATGAAAATGGGAAATTGTGTAAACAAATCCTTCTGTCTCTTTTCTTTTATTGCTTTACTTGCTTTAATTTTCATACATCAATTTGTCAAATTGCATTGAGTAATCTATCGACACGCAGGAATTTTCCGAGACTGTTTTTGTTTTGAATTGTGTGTTGAGTTGCTTATAATCACTTTTGATTATAAGTGCTTTTCATATCAACACAATACAAAGGAAAATTTTGAAACTTTGATTGCACACCAAGTGTTTTGACCAATTTTTAGCTTGTTCAAATCAAAGGAAAATTGTAAAGTTCTATATCTTACTCTCATTTACTCTCTATATGCAATTTGTTGAATGTGTTGTTTGATCGATTAATTCATATATAGAATTTCTCTTTGATTGTTAAAGTTTAAACTACTTTTTTGATTAGCTTATAATCACTTTGATTGTAAGTGTGTTAGTAATCCACCAAATATATATGATGAATTTCTACCAATCTTGATGAACAAGATTGATATCACCATACAATGATAATGAATTATATGAATAGAAAGAAAGAAGACAATTATTTTCTGCAGAGTTTATCTCTGCTCACAAAATATGGAAAACTTTATTATTCACTTGTAACTGCAAATTTTGTGAATACAATGAATTGACTTGATTATAAAAATAGGGGTTACACCCTCTATTTATAGATTTAGGTTAGCTTGTTCTCTAACCAAAGCCCAAAACTATAAAAGCCCAAAATACATCATGGATATCCGTCCTGCCTATTCTTGTTTGTTGGGACATCCTTGGATCCATAAAGCTGGGGCAGTAACCTCAACTCTCCATCAGAAACTCAAATATCCGGTCAAGGGAAGAATTGTCACTGTCTATGGAGAGGAAGAGTTTATGGTGAGCCACCTTAACTCTTTCAAGTATGTGGAGATGGACGGGGAATTCATTGAGACCCCGTGTCAAGCCTTTGAAGTTGTACCCCCAATGGTTGCTGCTACCAAATGTTCCTCTGATGTCTCTAAAGCTGTTAAGATCGTGCCGAAGATGGTTTCAGCCAAAGATGCTTGTGCTACAATTGAAGAAGGAAGTTGTGATAATTGGGGGCAACTTCTCGATATCCCATTCAAAGCGGACAAGTTTGGTTTGGGTTTCATCGTCAAAGCTCAGAAGGAAGTGAGGCGTGCTCGTGCAGGAAAGCCACCTCTCCACATTGGAAGCTATGAAGTTAACATTGTGGGTGATTCGGATAATGAAGCTGCATTTGAAGATTGGGTGTATCCTACTACAACGGAGCTGAAGAATTGGCATGCAAAGGATTTTGTGCCCATCTCCTTCATTGAGGAGTAATCTACTTGTTATTGATTTTCTTTCAACTCAAGAACATTTTGTCTGTAATATTTAACAATAACTTTTAAGCCATGTGCCTGGCCCAGGGAACTTTTGGTCCATTTGTCAATGGTTTTATTTATGTTCATCTAATCATATGATCATTCAATATAAATCATTGGACTCTTTTGCATTTAAATCTTTGTGTTCATTGTCTTTCCTTTCTTACATTTTTCAAAATAGCCATGTATCTTACATGCACACACACACACACACTCTTGCAGGTCCTCATCTACTATGAATCTTATTGTTAATGACTCTACTATTTCCGACTATGATTTCGAATGTACAATTAACCAAGCCGAAGATAAAGGCGAGGAAGATTGTGAAATACCGGGAGAACTAGCCAGACTTCTATTACAAGAGTAAAAAGCTATTCAGCCGCACGAAGAGTCAATTGAAGTCATCAATCCTGGTACCGAGACGAATAAGAAAGAGGTTAAGATTGGAGCTAACTTAGAAGA